CCTCCCTGCTCTATTCCACAGTGACAGACTTGCCCTTTTCTAACTGTGGTCACCTGGCTCCTATTGCCAGGTACTGTTCTAGCCACTGCTGGTGATCCTCCAACCTAAGCTCTTATTGGGGAGATAAGGACAAACACAAATCACTACCACCCCGGGCACTATCCGACATAGGACCTGTATCATACAAATGGCATTAACTGTAAATGCTACAGGAACGAAGAAGAAAGAACCCTGTGAACTCCAGGAGTCATAACAGGCTGAAGAGAGAGAGTAGGTGGATTTCAGCTTGAAGACTAAGTAGACTTGGGAGGAGGCTCAAATTTCAAGGTAGGGAAGAAACGTGGGCAAACTTGGAGGTGGGAAATAGAAAAACTAGGCCCATGTTACTTGGTAAAGTATTATTAAGTGGCTATGGACTTCCCTCTACAAGGCAGTTGTATTCACCTCTTGTACACACAAGTGGAGTGACAGAGGCCATTAATCTATCATAAACCTTGCAAGATAAGTTCTAGTCCCAAACTCAACACTGACAAGAGAGGATCTGAGTATAAACTAAACATGGCAAGAAATCATACCATCAATCTTGGAGTACTGTATCCACTGATGAAACAAAACAAAGCACACGGAATACTTTGTTGTTTATTTTAAAGCAGTCACATTCCTTTCCAATCTAAAACACAACTTCAAAGTCCACAAAGTATTCAGAATCCTAACCCTACTTTTTAGCTTAAGTAATTTCAGAAATGATGCTATGTTACAAACACTAACAGAACCTGCAAACTGGGGAGAGGAGGACAGGACCTGAGGGCGGAGGCCCATGTACTTGTGTAGTCTACACAGAAAGAACATACAAGTCACAAATGTGTGTCTTCTTCGTCACAACTAGGACAAATGTCTGATCATGTGACTTTTGTGCTCAAAAACCTTCAAGGACTCCCACTGCCCAAAGGGAAAAAAAGCACAAACTCCTAGCCAGGCATTTATGCCCTTCAGAGTCTTGCTCCCACCTGCCTTCTCAGCTTTATTTTGTCCCTTTCAAGAACTCTACACTCTAGCCAAACCAGTGTTGCTCCCTTCACTTGACCCTTCCTCTTCTGTGCATTCCTTCCTCAGAATCCGGCTTTCTCCAAAACTCTGTGCCGCTTCATGAAGCCTTCCACGATGCCTCAGCTCCCAGGATTCCCTTTGGCCCCTCAATTTTCCACTACTCTTGTGTACACACTGGAAGGCAGAACATAAGCGTGTTGAGGGCAGTGACAGTTTCATTGTCTTGAACATATTAAGCACTTCAGGTTTACTGAACTACATAAGCAGCAATATAATCAGCTGCACCATCTTGAATTACCAAGGACTATAGAGAGACCAAACAGAGACTTGCTCCTGTGTATGTAACATATAGCACATAGGTCTTCTTTGGAAGTCATGTATTTTCCACTCATCTAGGAATGTTTCTCTAGCTGATAAGATGAAGATGACATAATGAACCTCATTACTTCAGGTTTCATGGATTCACAAACTGTAAAAACTATCTCATAATCACTGCTGGACAGCTGATTAGTAGCAAACCCTTCCTTACAATGGGCTGCTAACTGCCTCTGATAGACTCAGATGCTTTAGAAATGGAATGGACTTTTGAAATCCCTTAATTCAACCCCCTGATTTTTGACAGATTAAGTGACCTACCTGCTCTAAGTCCCACAGTCCTCCCAAAATTCTAAGAGCTATAGTTACAACTCTTTGCTGCCCCCCCAAGGAACCTCATTCTCGATTCAAACTGAGAAAATCCTCTTTTAAGGAACTAACTTTAACAACGCTTAAAGCCACACTTGATAAAACAGGAATCTTTTAAGTTTACTTTAAATTTCGTAATAGCGAAAACAGGCTATAGAGATAGCTACACTCTTGTGTCTGATTTCCTTCTTGATTAACGTGCATATAAAGTAGCCACTGTGCAGTATATCACTGAGGAATAAAGCAAAGCTAAACGGAAAATTAACTGGCAAAACTCTGGTCTGATTAATATCAATCACCAACGCGATCAAATAAAGTGTCCAGTTTAGTCATAACTTTAATACTAGAGTAAGTTTCCTAAGAAAGCTGGAACCATGTCTTTCATAATTTATGAGTAAACTATTTCACTACTGAGGGGGATAATACGGAATAAAATACCAAAACCACCAAGGAGCCGAACAAGAATCTTAGATCTGAGCAAAACTTTGGAAATGTTTCATCAGTACAAGGTCAGGGAAGAAGGAGGTAGGAAATCTGTTTTGGGGGGGGGGTCCCAGGGGCGGCCCCAGCCCCTCCCCCACCCATCCACAGGTGTGAGTAATTTCACAAGCGACTTCTCCCCTCTTAGGTCCGTGACCAGCCTGGGTGCACCAACCTATCACCTCCTCGATGCCAGGAGCCATTATGGAAGGGGGAGGGGAGCGCGTGGCTCAGGGTTAGAGACCCGAGGGTCTGTGGCTCTCGTTCCAGCCTCCAGGCCCCCCACAAGCAACGCTGCTCAGCCCACGGGGGGGGGTAGGGGGAGGGCTGCTCAGGCTGGAAGGTAAGACACAGAGAGAAACTTCGCGGCGCGAGCCCCTCCCTCACTTGGGAGAAGAGGACGCTGACGGTCCAGGAGGGGCAGCCGCCCGCCCAGGTCTCGCAGAAGGACCCCACTCAGAGCCCAAGTCTCGGGTGCTGCGCCCCTCCCCCCTCCCCCGAGACCCGCGGGCGGGAGGGAGGCAGGTTTGGGTCAGTGCAACGGGTCGCTCCCGCGCGGCCCGCCCGCTGGGCCGGGCCGGGCCTGGGGCCGGGGCGGGGGGAGCCCGCAGGGCAGGGAAGGAGGGAGGGCGGGAGGGAGAGCGAGCAGAGGGGGCCGCTACCTCCGCACCGCCCCACACACTTACAGACCCCAGCGCCGCCGCCGCCCGCCGCCCGCCGCCGGCCGGAAGTGCCCTGGCGTCCCCACGCCGACGTTGGGCCGTCACATCCGCCGCGTCGCCGGGGCAACCAGGGCCAACGGCTGCCGGGAGCGGCGAGGCGATCGGCCCCGTCGGGGGGGCAGCCTGCGGGGGCGGGGCCGGACAGGCGCAGTGGGTGCGAACCCTTCCGCGCTGGGTGACTCCAGCCTCTCTACCTGCCTCAGTTTCCTCACCCATCAAATGGGCACAGTAACCTCCCAGAGTAGTCGTGAGGTCCGAATGAGAGACTCTTTGTAAAGTGCTCCCTGAGCGATGGCAACGGGGGTGGACGTGATCGTTGATGTGAGGGAGGAAAAGGAGGTAGAGGGATACCGGGCCTTGGCCATAGGACCAGAGAGGTAGAGCCGGCAGGGACCTAACAGGGCCCTGAGTTCCAATCCAGCCTCGGGTTGGGGGTTGAGGGGATGGTTGGTGAATTTTATTCCCTACAGAGCGCCCCCCCTCCCCATTCCACTTTGTGACAGTTCTAATGGGAGGTTTTGCTTGCATCAATTCTAAATGATAGATAGATGGATAATATATATAATGCACTATATATAATATATATATATAAAACATGCACAAATGCTCATTGCCCCTAGCCAAGCAGACCAAATCCTAGCAGTCCCTCTCCCACATGACAGCCCTTCAAATACTTGGAGGTTGCTATTATTCAGTATATTAGGCTGTGCTATCCCCACCTCATATCCTTTCCTATGCTACTGACGAGTCTAAAGAGCTGTGATGAACACGGTAAGGTGGTGCAGGACACAGAGTCAAGAAGACTCATCTTGAGGAGTTCAATTCCTGCCTCAGACACTTACCACCTGGGTGACTCTGTATGAGTCACTTGACCCTGTTTGCCTCAGTTTCCTCATCTGTAAAATGAGCCAGAGAAGGAAATGGACAACCACTGCAGCATCTATGCCAAGAAAACCCCAAATGGAGTCACAGAAAGTCAGGAAGTGACTGAAAGGACTGAACAACATGATCAAGGTGAGCCTTTATGCTCTGGAGTTTTCAAGGTTCCCGTTTCTTTTGCCTGCCAGTAGTATATGATCTTGATCTACAGAAAGGAACATTCAGTTAGGAAGAATCAGTCTTAGAAACTCCTCGAACTCTGAAGTTTAAAGAAGCCCAAGAGTTAGGAAGTATTTTTGGTCATTTTCTCTATTCCTCTTTCAGAGCTGGGATTCTGAGAGCCTAAAAAGGGAATCAGGAAGACTAGGGCTTTTTTGGGTTTTGTTTTTGTTTTTTCTGCCTAGGCACAAGAGAGGCTTCTCACTCAAGTTTCCCAGAAAGCCTAATCACTTTAGTTAGGCCTGGACCCACCCATCTAGGGAGAAGCCTGGGTTATTTCTCCCCCATTTGTTCTCGGGAGAAATGGACAAACCATTTCCCTCCCTTCTCTAAAACCTCACTAATGTCTCTCCTTACCTCAGGTTAGATGAGGTCACAGATGCCATTTAGTCCAACCTCTACTTGATCAGGAGTCCCCTCTACCTCAGGCCTAACAAATAGATCTCAAGCCTGTGCTTGAAGATTTCCAGTGAGGCCAAACACACTCTGTCCTCAGTCAAACTGTTCTCTCCTTCTTTGCCCCTTTGCCCACTAGAGTGGTGAGGAAATTTTTCTTTATAGCTGCCTTAATTTATTTCTTTGCAGTTTCTACCCACTGCTGCTAGTTCTGCCTTTTAGGGAAAAGAAAAGTCAAATGCTTATTCCCTGAGACAGCCCCTCCAATACTCTAAGATAGCTATCATGCCCCACCCCTCCCCCAGTCTTTTATATCCTAAACACCCCTAATTCCTTCAATCTATCCTCATATGGCATGATCTTTTAAAATTTTTTTTATTATTTTAAACATTCTTTTTTTTTTTAATTTTGGGTTTCAGATTGTCTCCCTCCCACCCTCCTACCACCTAGTGAGAGGGCAATCACTGTGATATCAATTATATGTGTGAAATCATGCAAACCTTTCCATGTCAGACATCACAAAAGAAGAAGAAAAAAAGAAAGAAAGCAAGAAAATTATATTTCAATTTGCCTCAGAGTTCATCAGTTCTCCTTCTGGAAGTCGATAATATTTTTCATCACAAGTCCTTTGGGATTGTCTTGGATCAAAGTTGCCAACTTCTTCAAAGCTGATCGTCATTACAACATGTGGCATGACCTTTGTGAGAAATGAATATTTCTTATATTTAATAACTATTGTATTAGGACCAAGGTTTTTCCCCTGTTTTACTTCCTCATCCAGAAATCAACCAGTGTGGGAAATCCCTTGGTAGAGAATTACCCAGGCCAAAATCTAACCAGACAGTAAAAGAAATTCTGAGTTTGGGCTAATAGGTGTATTCTTGCCATTGTGTTTGCTCAGACAAGTCCGGGGAAAGATTGAGTCTCCATGTGATCAAGACAGGTGAGATGGAAATTGATCTCTTTGACCAATATTGGAGTGACCTAAATCACATACCCCAAGACCTTCATTTAATATAGCCCACACCTCCCATTGTGTTAACCACTGAGAGCTGATTAGGCACCCTCAGGAACACCAGTTCTTCAAAGGGCATATAAACAGTGAGCCCACCACCATGAGGGATGTATAGTCTAAGAGAGACAGACAAATGTCATCCTTTTATCACTTTTAAATTTTTATTATTATAATAAATTTATTATTTTATTCATCACACTTCAAAGGCACCTCACTTCCCTAGGAATCTGGACACTGTTCAGCTTATCGTACATCCAATAATGTGGTATCAGTATTGCAGACACAGTTTGACCAGGATCTCATCTCCATCTGCCTCCAGTAATTCAGGGTGCTAGCCCACTGGTCATTGACATTAAGCTTGCAGTCCACCAGAGCCAGTCTGGAGCCAGCTCATGAAAGGTTTTAAATGTCAAAGGTACAAGTTCCTGAACTGTCATGAATTTACTCTAAGTAAATATATCTGCCTTTAAAAAACAAACTCACGTATAGAATTTAGGGGTTCTCTGCCGCTATATTGTTTCCAACTGTTAGACCCATCTACTTCCTGATATTGTGTATGTTTCAGCCAAATCAGGCCACTAGCTGCTATCTAGTCTTGTGATCATTATTTTGCTAAAGGTTCACCTATATTTCATATTCTCATGGCCTTTAATAGAGACAGGCACCTGCTTAAACAAAACATTAGGTCATCATAGCCATAGGCACAATTCATTAATTTGCAGATCTTGGTTAGATGGTACATACTTGCAGACTTTAGGGCTAATCTAAGAACAGACATTTTAGACCTTGGGTTTCTTTTTTTTTCCCCCAAGGCAATTGGGGTTAAACCCAGGGTCACACAGCTAGTAAGTGTCAAGTGGCTGATCTGAGACCAGATTTGAACTGGGGTACTTTTTTTTTAAATATAAATTTATTTATTTTTAGTTTTCAACATTTACTTCCACAAGATTTTGAATTCCAAATTTTCACCCCATCTTGCCCCTCCCCCCACCCCAAGATGGCATGCATTCTGAATACCCCTTCCCCTAGTCTGCCCTCCCTTCTATCTTCCCCCCCTTCTCTTATCCCTCTTCCCTTCTATTTTCCTGTAGGGCAGGATAGATTTCTATACCTCATTTCCTGTATTTCTTATTTCCCAGTTGCATGTGGAAACATTTTTTTTAAACATGTGTTTTTAAAACTTTGGGTTCCAAATTTTCTCCCTTCCTCCCACCCCACCCACCCTCATTGAAAAGGCAAGCAAGTCAATACAGGCCATACATGTGCAGTTATGCAAAACACTTCCATAGTAGACATGTTGTGAAAAACTAACTCTATTTCCCTTAATCCTATCCTGCCCCCCCATTTATTCTATTCTTTCTTTTGACCCTGTCCCTCCTCAGAAGTACTTCCTTCTGATTACCCCTTTCCCAATCTGCCCTTCTCTCTATCATCCCCCTGCTCTCTTGTCCCCTTCCTCCCCTTTTCCTGTAGGGTAAGACAGATTTCCATACCCAATTGAGTGTGTATGTTATTCCTTTCTTAAGCCAAATCCTATGAGAATAAGATTCCCTCATTTCCTCTCACCTTCCCCTGTTTCCCCTCCACTGTAAGAACCTTTTCTTGTCTGTTTTGTATGAGATAATGCACCCCATTCTACCTCTCCCTTTCTCCTTCTCCTAGTATAATCCTCTCTCACCCCTTAATTTTATTCTCCAGATATAACCCTAACCCTTCATCTTCAACTCACCCTGTGCCCTCTATCTATCTATCTATACATACATACATATAATTTTTCCCCTCTCACTACACTAATACTGACAAAGGTCTCGTGAGTTATAAATAACATCTTTCCATGCAGGAATATAAACAGTTCAGTCTTAATAAGTCTCTTTTGATTTCTCTTTCTGTTTACCTCTTCATGTTCCACTTGAGTCTTGTATTTGAAAGTCAAATTTTCTATTCAGCTCTGGTCTTTTCATGATATGCTTGAAAGTCCTCTATTTCACTGAATGACCATTTTTTCCCCTGAAGGATTATACTCAGTTTTGCTGGGTAGGTGATTCTTGGTTGTAATCCTATCTCCTTTGCCCTCCGGAATATTATATTCCATGACCTGCGGTCCCTTAATGTAAAAGCTGCTAAGTCTTGTGTTACCCTGATTGTTTTTCCACCATACTTGAATTGGTTTTTTCTGGCTGCTTGCAATATTTTCTCCTTGACCTGGGAACTCTGGAATTTGGCTACAATATTCCTAGGAGTTTTCCTTTGGGGATCTCTTTCAGGGGAGATGGGATTCTTTCAATTTCTATTTTGCCCTCTGGTTCTAAAATATCAGGGCAGTTTTCCTTGATAATTTCTTGAAAGATGATGTCTAGGCTCTTTTTTTGATCATGGCTTTCAGATAGTCCAATAATTTTTAAATTCTCTCTCCTGGATCTATTTTCCAGGTCAGTTGTTTTTCCAATGAGATATTTCACATTGTTTTCTAATTTTTCATTCTTTTGGATTTGTTCTACTGTGTCTGATTTCTCATAAAGTCACTATCTTCCAATTGCTCTATTCTAATTTTTAAGGAAGTATTTTCTTCAGTAAGCTTTTGGACTTCCTTTTCCATTTGGCCAATTTTGCTTTTTAGGGCATTCTTCTCCTCATTGGCTTTTTGGACCTCTTTTGCCATTTGGGTTAGGCTATTTTTTAAGGTGTTATTTTCTTCAGTATTTTTTTGGGTCTCCTTTAGCAAGCTGTTGACTTGTTTTTCATGATTTTCTTGCATCACTTTCATTTCTCTTCCCAGTTTTTCCTCTACTTCTCTTACTTGCTTCTCAAAATCCCTTTTGAGCTCTTCCAAGGCCTGGAACGGATTCATATTTTTCTTGGAGGCTTTGGATGTGGGAACTTTGACTTTGTTGTCTTCTTCTGGTTGTATGTTTTGATCTTCTTTGTCACCAAAGTAAGATAATATAGTCTGACTCTTTTTGCGAGGTTTGCTCATGATCCCAGTCAACTGCTTGAGTTTTAAACTCTTTGTTAAGGTAAAGTCTGCTTCCAATGTGGAGAATGTACTGTCCCAAGCTTCAGGGGTTTGTATAGCTGTTTTCAGTGATACTTCTAGGGACCTGTAAATTTTCAGTTCTTCCAAGGTGGTATGATAAGGGTCGAGGTGTTTACTCTTTTCCTGGCCTGAGCTCTGGTCTTTGAGTGACCGGCCACAAGCAGTCTTTTCTCTCTTAGAACTGTGAGGAAGGTTTCCTCTTCACAGCCACTACAAGCTCCACTGCGCCAGCACTCCTCCTCACCCTAGGACTGCCAGCCAGAACTGTGACCCAGATCCAAGCACGGGCAAAGCAACAGATTCCTGCCTCAGCACCAGCAAAGAGATCCCTGCAGTCCCCCTTTGATCAGCCACTTGATTCCCTGTCAGTCAGTGGGCCTGAAGCTCAGAAGGCAGCCCCCGCCCAGGTACCCGTGCTCTAGAGCTGGCTCTGACCTAGGTCTTCTCTCACTGAAAAAACAGACTTTTCCCACTGACCTTCTAAGTTCTCTTTGACGTTTGTGGATTGAGGAGTCTGGAAACCGCCACAGCCGCCTGTGATTCGTTCCTCTGAGGCCTGCTCCAGGTTCTCTGTGGCCTGCGCACCCACGCTGAACTGCAGTCCTCTGTCCACCCGGTGCGATATGCCTTTCCAATCAACCATCCAGGCTGTCTTGGGCTGGAAATTTGTTTTACTCTGTCTTTTTGTGGGTTCTGCTGCTTTAGACTTTGTTTAGAGCCATTTTTTTTACGGGTATTTGGAAGGGTTTGGGGGAGAGCTCAAGCAAGTCTCAGCTTTCACTCTGCCATCTTGGCTCCACCTCGGGTCCTTTTTGACTCCAGGATCGGTGCTCTATCCACTTTCGAAACCTAGCTGCCCTAGACCTTGGGTTTCTGTGCTGCTCTTGAAAGACTCATCTTCATGAGTTCAGATCTGGCCTCAGACACTTACTAACTGTGTGACCCTGAGCAAGTCACTTAACCCTGTTTGCCTCAGTTTCCTTATCTGTGAAATGAGCTCGAGAAGGAAATGGCAAAACATTCCAGTATCTTTGCCAAGAAAACCCCAAATGAGGTCAGGAAGGGTCAGCCATGACTGAATAATAACAACAACATCAATCTCCACCAGTAGGAGGCAAGTGACTTTGTTACCTGGCTTGGGGAATCATAGTATCTTAGGATTTAGAGCACAAAGAGGCCAGAAGAACACAGTTTTAGAGCCCAAAAAGATTACAGAGGTTGTCTAATCCAATCACCTCATTATACAATTGAGAAAACTAAGTAAGGCCCAGAAATGGAAAGTAACTTACTCATGGGCGCAGAGTAGGGAAATGGGAGAGGCAGGATTTGAACCCAGGTCTTCTTCCTCCAAATCTGGTGCTCTTCTCCCTGCAGCAGTAGTGTCAAACTCAAACAGAAACATCCCTACTGGCTGCATATTGACTTAAAAAATTACAAATGAACATTGTGTGGTATTTTTATTTTGTTAAATATTTCCCAATTTCCATTTAAATCTGGTTCTGCTGTGAGTTTGATACCTCGCTCTACAGCATCACCTTATTGTTCAGTTAGTCAACAAGCATGTATGAAATACTATGTACCAGGTAATGTGCTAAGCCCTGAAGATACAAAGAAAGGCCAAATAAATAAATAAGTGGTCCTTCCTCTCACAGTGCAAACATTCTAACGGGGTAGACAACACGTAAGTAATTAGATACATATAAAATACATAGGGACCAGATCAGGGTGATCTGAAGAGGAAGACATTAGCTAGCAGTGGAGGGATGGGCAAAGCCACCTGCTCCCTGGAATTTTAGCTGGCTTGAAGGAAGACAGGTGGGCTAAAAGACAGAGGGAAGAGGACTGAGCATTTTGGGCACAGGGGCCAGCCAGTATGAGGGAATTAAGGGGATTAAAACGGCAAGTGGCGTTGGGAATTGGGGGAACCACACAGACTCCATCTTGTGACTCAGTTTTGGAGTTGAGTTCCTTTTCTGTTCATTTATTGGTCTAGTCCAATTTCTGTCTTGTGAGAAAGCTATTCATTTGAAGGAATTGCGAGGAAACCATCTTGTATTATTTGAACCTAGGCCTGCATCACTGGGAAGCTGGATCGCTTCTACTTGTTGCTGAGAGACCCTTAACTAAAGACTTAGGCTGTGCTGAAATCTGGTGGGATCCAAAGATTGAAACAAGGCGTTTTCTCACAGTTACACGTCAGGCAACTCCTGTGGCTTATCTGAAAACTGGACTGGTACCGATCAATCAGTTATTGCTTCTACATTCCTTTTATTGTTCACAGACACTTGTTCTGATTTCAGGAAATCAGGCCTATTCACTCTCCCCCTCCTCCAATGAGAAACCAAATTGCTGAATTTTGTATTCTGGTTGTTTTCTTTTAATTAATTGGCCTGTTTGATAATTGTTTTAAATGAATAAAAGTCTACCTCTCTCTGTATTCAGGGTCCAGTGCCAAAGCTGAAGAAGTGATCGTCCTCATTTGTTATGCAATTGGAATGCATTGCTTAATAAGTTGACGTGCTCGAATGCTCAAACTTTTGTTTCCCCATTTCATCTTTCACCCTCCACAAGTGCAAGCTCAAAGAGGCAGGAGATAATCTGAGGACCTGCAAGTAGGCCATTATAGCTGGATCATAGAAAACATGAAATCTGTAAAGGTAGAAAACAGCCAGGTCATAAAGAGCTTTAAATGGCAAACAAAGGGCTTTATATTTGTAATGGAGAGCAGCTGGAGGTCATTGAACGAGACAATGATGTGGTCTCCCCTCCAGGTTAGAAAAAATTCTTTGGCAGCCAAGTGGAAGCTAGATAGGAGTGGGAGAGACTTGAATTGGCAGGACCAGTTAGCAAGCTATTGAGTTGTCAGAGCTAGAGGTGATGACCACCACCCTGGGAATATGGCTGTGTCAGTAGAGAGAAGGGGTGAGAAAAGACAGCTGTGGTAGAGTTAAGAGGATGAGTTCTGTTTTGGACATGTTGAATATGAGATGCCTACAAGATGTATCACTCAAGATGTCCAAGAAACAATTGGTTAGTAGGAAAAACAAGCTTTTTTCTCATTTCCTGCCTGAGGCTCTGAGGGAAGAAACCTCTCTTGGTCCTAAACGTAGGGGCTTTGAGCTAGCTAAAAGAGTTCTGTAGCCCTCCAGTGGAAGAGGGGGCTGCTTCAAACCCGTAGCTGAGAGTAGAAAAAGACTGCAGCCACCCACAGAAGGACAGAAGTGAAGAAAGGCAATGAGAAATCATTGGTAACTTTGGAGATAGGTGATAGTTTCAATTGAATGCTGAAGTTGAAATTGAGATCAAAGAGGGAAAGCAGCTGTTGCTGGATGAGAAAGAAGAAGTGATATAAGACATAGCTAGCAGGGATCACTGGGTCAAGCAAGGGTTTGTTGTTTTTTTTTTTAAAGGATGTGGGAGACATGGAAGATGTTTGTAGGCAGCAGGAAAGGAGTCAGTAGATAGGAGAGATTAAAGATTAGAGAAAGGGGGTGATAGTGGAGATAATTTTTTTAGAGAATTTAGGAAGGGATGGGATCAAGGGTATGTTTGAAGGGTTTATCTTGGCAAGGAGAAGGATCACCCCTTCATCTGAAACAAGGATAGTAGAGGAAAATGTTTGACTGATGAGATAAAGAGAGGGAGAAAAGGGGGAGCTTTCAGCAAAGTTCTCAGATTTTTCATTGAATTGTGAAGCAAGATATTTAGCTGATAGTATGGGTGGAGGGAGGATTGTGGGAAGCTGGGGAAGAGGCCAGAAGGTGTTGAGTGGGATAGAGACCACTTACCCAAATAAAAATTTGGAGGTTTCTCTCAGTAGAAACAGAAGTTTTATTCTAGCAAGTCTCTCTCAAGAATTGGGCATCACCTACCCAGGGCAGACTGGAGTAGGGAGGCAGGATACAAGCAGCAAGCAAGCAATTATATACCCCTAGACAAACAATTCTAAGAAAACCCCACCCTCCTGAATCACTTTATCCTCATTGGTTGAGGTAAGAGACCTTACATTCTACCCAGAAACTAAGAGGTACATTTTACCCAAAACAAGCTTGGGAGCTAGAAGATTGCCTTATTTGGCAAAGATAAGGCTGGGGTGGTAGTTACAAAACAAGGGAGATGGTGGGCAACAGATGTATGACCCCATCACATGATTTACAGGAAAACAAAACTTAGGCCCAGCTAATGCTAAAGCCTTAACTAAATTTTGGGGCATAGCTTCCATTTCATATGAGAAACTTTCACTTGTCCCACACAGTGTGGAGAATGGAATATCAAATCAGTCCCAAAGGAATGGAATATTTGCCTAATTGCAGTGAAGACCAATTTGAGATTAACTAACTTAAAATTTGTATTAGACCCAGTCAATATAGTTTAGTGATTTCCTTCAGCCCATTCTGCAGGAAGTGAATAGGAGATAAGGAAGTAGATAATGGGAGTAACCCAGGATTGGGGCCTGGCAAGGTGTGATCAGCATTAGAATAAGGAGTAAAGGAATAGAAAATAGAGATAATTAATAGAACTGAGTTGATTCATCAAGAAATTGAGATAGGGAAAAGAGGGGAGTATAACCAGTCCTGGCTGATTATCTGGAAACAACTGGAAGGCAGAAGAAATGGAGGCCGTGATGAGAATGATGTACTAGGTTAAGGGATGTGAAGCACGGGAAGAGATGGAACGATACCGTATTATAATCAGATAATGAATTTCTGTGTTCATGAACATAGAAGTAGAACACTTGTAGGGTCAGCATCAAAGGTATAATTAGCTCTATGTGTAGCCGAAGTGGAGGAATGGAGGTCATGGGGAGAGAGAAGATTGAGGAACTGGAAATTTAGGAAATTAGAAGGAGAATGAAAATGCATGTTGAAATCCCCTAGTTTGAGAGTAGGAGATGAGGAGCAGAGACAGATTGTGAGTCAGGCACTGAATTCACTGAGAAAGGAAAGAGGGTCTATAGTTAACAGTCACCAGAAATTGGTTTGGGTAATAATTGGATATTGTGAAGTTGAAAGGAGAAGAGGTTGCTTGGTGAAGGTTTTCAAGGGAAGGTCTGGAAGTGGTAAAGGGGACCAAGAAGTAGTCCGGCAAACTCGGCCCCACTTCCACCAGGGCCAGTGAGTTGAGGGGTATGAGAGAAAGTATAGCCAATACTAGAAGGGTGACGAAGAAAACGGTGTCATCAAAAGAGCACTTTGGTTCAGCAAGGTAAGAGGAATAACAAAGGTCTGAGAATGAAAGGAGGTTCAATAATTGTGGAACCAGGATGTCAGGAAAGCTCTAAGGAAGGGCAGCAGATCCTGAGTAGAACATTGGGAAGCAGAGTTGAGGTGAATAGGCATAAAGGAGCATAAAGCAGATGAGAAATTGGGTTTGTCCATTTGGCCAGGAAGGGGTGCAGAATCCCTGGAATGGATGGGTATGAGGGGTAGAAATCTGCTGACCAAGGGCAGCTAGGTGGTGCAGTGGATAGGATACTGGCCCTGGATTCAAGAGAACCTGAGTTCAAATCCAGCTTCAGACACATAACACATACTAGCTGTGTGACCCTGGGCAAGTCATAACCCTGTTGCCTGTCCAAAAAGAAAAAAAAAAGGGAAGAAACCTGCTGACCACCAAGCCTGAAATTAGGCCTGTCATCCATAGGAGTGCCTTTGTTGTTGGACAAAGTTGTCTGGAAAGAGGCCAGCAAATTTGAGAGGTGAGAAAAGGGAGGGGAGGGGAATAAGAAGGGGCAGTACATGTAGAGCAATGCCGACAGAACCGGAACAATTTACTTTGGGCTCAGAATAATATAAAGGAAAACAATATTGAAAGACTTTGGATGAAAACGCAAATGTCTCCAAGCCATTCCCCACAAATATACTCATGCCTAGCCTCCCTGCCTTTTATAGTCTCCAAGTTCCATTGAAGCTCAGCCCAGTCACCATGTTCTATATGTGACATTGTGTGTGCCCATTCCCCACATACTCTTAGGTTAATTGTTAATTATATTTGATGTATGTGTGTGTGTATGTATGTATAGTTATATACATATATACATACATATATATGTATACACACACACATATGGAGAGAGAGTAAGGCAGCTGGATGTCACAGTGCGTAGAGTGCTAGGTGTGGAATCAGCCATTCTCATCTTCGTGAATTCAAACCTGGCCTCAGACACTTACTAGCTTTGTGACCCTAAGCAAGTCACTTAACTTTGTTTGCCTCAGTTTCCTTCTCTATAAAATGATCTGGAAAAGGAAATGGCAAACCACTCCAGTATCTTTGCCAAGAAAACCCCAAAACGGAGTCACAAAATATTGGACACAACTGAAAATGACTGAACAGTAAGCACAAACACACCTATATATGTGTGTGAGTGTGTGCATGGACACATATGCACGTTATTTCCTCTAAGAGAAAGTAATTTTCTCGAAGGCAGGAACTATATCATCTTTGTCTTTCTATCATCTATCATGGGGGGAGGTAAGGGGAAGGGAGAGGAATAAACATTTATATAGCAGCAGCTACCATGTGCCAGGCACTGGGCTAAGTATTCTTTACAAATATCGTTTCATTTAGTCCTCACATGACCCTGGGAGGTTGGTGTTGTTATTATGTTCATCTTACAGCTGACAAAAACAAGGCAAACAGGTTAGTTAGGTGACTTGCCAGAAGTCAAACAGCTAGTAAATGTCTCGGGTTGGATTTGAACTTAGGTCATCCTGAGTTCAGGCCTGACTCCAGACCTGACTCCAGGCCCACTACACTAACCATTGAGAAAACTCCCTCTAGAGGTGCAGATAGGCACCTTCTGTGTGCCTTAAAGTTGCCTAGGTCAGAGGTATCAAACATGTGGGGCCCATCACACTCTTGAATGGGCCCAAACCAGATTAAAATGTAATTAGGAATATTTAACAAAATAAATAAAAATACTCTAAAACATAAACAATATGACATTTAAAAATTAAGTCAATATGTGGCCCACAGGAACTGGCAGGTATGCTTTAGTATTATCCGGCTTCAATTTGAGTTTGACCCCACTTGCGTAAAGCACTGAGAAGTTGAGTTTTTTGACCAGAGTCACACAGCCAGTGTGTATAAGAGGCAGAATTTGAACCCAGTTGTTCTGGCTTTGAGGCTAGTTCTTTATCCACTACACTATACTACCTCTCTTGGCACACCGTAGGAGCTTAATAAAGACTTGTTTGCTGGTTAATGATACTCCAAGGAGCTCATGGTCATTTCTTTGTATACACAGAAAATTGTCTTAAAACTGGAGGAGGAAGTTAGATTGTCTCCACCATGAGAAAAAGCAAACGCTAAATTGACCAAATAACGGAAAGGTGTGGAGTTTCCATTCCTGATGGCATTCAAGCAGAGGCCAGACAACAATCATGTGTCATTGAGACACATATTCACCTCACAGGAGAGTCAGAGGAGGCTGAACTG